GAAACAAGAAACTACTAGGAACAAGTGCCTTACTAGTAGTAACAAGAAGCTATTTGAAACAAGAAACTACTAGGAACCCGTGCATCGCCAGGCCTTCGCCTCATCAGACGCTGACGGAGCAGAGCGCCAACCTGCCGCGGATGGAGGCGGGTGGGTCGGCGCTCACTGGGTCGGCGGGTTGGTGAGGTCCGAGGTGGGGTTTGTTGGGATTGTGCAGCCAATGTGTTGATTTTTTGGGGAGGATGTAGCATGATAAGGTGTTGGTGTGATGAACCATAGTAATTAGATAGGGTAATAATAGATGCTAATAGTATGTATTGGTTGTATACTGACTTGTGTCCCAGAAAGCAAGTTCATATTACCGGTTCAAGGAACCACCCGGAGTGGTACTTCAGAAGGCAGTGAGTTTCCGCATAGGTTCATGGTTTCATATGATATTTCTTCATGGCTCCCTTGCTAGAGATGATAAATTGTATTTCACGTTCAACATTTTTTTTCGTGTCCTGCTTGCTGTCTTCCAGCTTGGAGACCGCAAGCAAGCACTCTTGCATATCTATGGTCTATATAAGATTCGGAGGAATACCTACTGTATCCATTTGCAATCCAATGCCTAGGTCCGCAGGCAGATCATGGAACATTGCAGCCATATGACCATGTTACCATGTTCCTGTTGTTTTGAGTTCCTAATTCCCCACCTTGTAAATGTGAGACCACATGGTCCCAGCCGAAAAAAATAAGAAACACCACACATCACCAGTCTCTTTTAATCCAACCCCTAAGGCCCTAGGGATTCAGTCGTACCTTCCCAGGTTTGTTGATGTGTGGAGACACTGTTATGTGGGAGGGTTTGGAGGGTCCAATCGTACCTTCTCTCAGAGTGCGACTGGATCCCTAGGAAATTGCAATACCAAAAGATTAAGATCGTCATCTTCTTGGATCTTCTTGGTTCTTTTGGATAGAAGATTTGGAACAAGGACGCTACTAGTAACAAGGGGCATCGCTATTAGGGGCTCCTGGCCTCGCTACTAGGAGCAATGTTCGCTACGAACGGGGCCGGATGACTCAACCGCCGGCGCCGCAGTTGTCTGCGCCAGCCACCCCGGTGGCGACGGGCCTGCCTGGCGAAGGTGTCTGGAGGGGCCTGTGTGGAGGACCAGGGGAGTTTTAGGAGTGGTTGGTCTAGGAGGTTCAGGAGCATCCAGAAGGTTTAGTGACCAAATAGTAACGGTTATTTGTTTGGATAACTTTGGATTTGTTAGGATTTGTTTACAGTAAGGGATCGAAACCAAAAAACACGTTTTTTAGCATCCCTTCCAGAGCATTTGGTTTTCCTGCGGCGGGGGCAACTGCTTCATTCTGATGTTTATTTAGTACATGCACGCTGGGCTACTGGCTAGAAGGAAGGAAGGAAGGAAGGAAGAAAGGAAGGAAGGAAGGAAGGACAAGTTGGCTGGCTCACGTGATTGAGGTTGAGGGACGTGATGTAATCGGCAGATTTTGTTTGATATGAGTACATCGAACTGGGAATTGCATGAGGTTATAACGGTTATACCCAAACATGTGACACTCCAAAGGGGCTCTGCGTGAGTTAATGGTATCCTGGAAGAGGTATAGGAGTTTTGTTCTGATATTTCTACTACAGGAACACCTACACAGTATTGTTCATGGCACCTTCACCATAGGTTGCTGAAACAGGCAAGATGTGATTGTTTTTTCGACTTCTTGAAGTTGATGTTTTGGCCTTAAAACCACAAACATGGATAGGTCACCCTGACAGTGTGTTGAGGCTTTCCCGGTAGCCCTGGAAGTGCCAGAGCTTCGCTGCTGAATGAGGAGACTGTCCTTCGGGCGTGGCGGGGTAGTAGGTCCTGCCAGCACCGGGCTTGTGACACCTGAAACCTTCCCATATCCACCAAGTGTCATCCATGTTCCATGTGAGCAGTGGTGGACCGAAACTGTCTTCCCTGCGGCCTTGGTTTCTCAAGTATTTTATGAATTTTGAGTTTGATCTAAGTTCTTTTCCCACAAGCAGTTGGCAAAGCTTTGTTCTTTGACGCAACATCCTTTAACATCCTTTAAATAATCATTACTTGAACAGGAAGTGTTTGTTTTCTGCGTTCAACCGTTGGGTAGGATGTGTTGCGAGAATCTAGTTCTGACAATGTTCCGTCCTGCAAGGTGAGTTTGGCAGAAACTGGTGGGTATGGTTGGGGCATTTTAGGGCTTTCCTGGCCCAAGTTTGCTGTCCGCACTGGTAGTTGTACTTCCACTAGGAAGATATCCACAAGCTGGAGAGTGGATCAAACATAACGAATCTTGACCAGATCAGCCTGTTGCGCCCCTGGGTTAGGGCGCCTCCAACCACCATCTCTGTGGATGCTCATACTTGAATCCGGCTTTGCAATTAAAACAATAAGAGGCAACGTCCCTGAAGGTCCAGTCCAAAAGCAACAAAAAACCTAAGCAAGTCTAAGCTTAACACAGGCAGCAGCCTTCCGTTTCCACAAAAGAACAAAGGGTTGATTTTTCAGATCACCTGCTCTTGCCTTCCAAGCTTTTCCAGCTACTTTTTCTCCGAAAGGGCTCGGAGATGTCAACTTGCATGCTGACCAACCAGAGAATGAGACATGCCAAGAGTTGACTGCAATTCTCGGGGATCTCCACTTCAGCCTCATGTAGCCTCCTCTGCACTTCGGCTTAGGAGTTGCAGGAGCGGCATGCACATGCACATGCACGGAGCCCTAAAACTGCAATACCAGCAAGCCCAACAGGCAGCTTATAGAATGGACATATTTTTATTCACGCTAAGTCCCAAAGAGACTTTGATTTGACGTGCCAAAATCCTTGGTGCTACAGCTCCATGCCCAGCTTCGACGAAGGTGCCCCACATGGGTGAGACGCGGAAGGTGGAAGAGCTACTCGCCGACGACAGGCACGGCACGTGCGGGTTCAAGGGGGCCCGGAGGAACGTTAGTGGGGTCGGAGGGTAGTTCTCCTCGAGCAATCAAACTTGGATTTTCTGTTTGTTGAACAACACAGGTGACCAGGGTCTAGGGTGACCAGATGATTTGTGAGGCTTTTCAAACTTCAAAACACCAGAAAACGCGTACCGTTGTGTTCGTAGTTGTCAAGCAGGTCTCTGATCAGACCCATTCTTATTTGGGTATGTCACGTGTATGAAACAGGGAGACCTCCCAGGCAACGACCCCTGTGTTGGAAGAAACAAATTCCACCAGTCTGTTATTGTGGTGAAAAAGGGGGGAGTTCAATTCTACCTCCCAGTCTACCCCCCAAACAAGGATGCGAAAAACATCAACACACAAGACCAACACCAAAGCCCTTTGTAAGACCAAGACTGAAATGAATTCTAAGACCAAAACGGTTTTCTTTCTCGAATCAAGCTGACTCGGAGCGACTCAAACCCCGCCAGGTTCTTGGACTCCTTGGCGGGCAAGCTGGCGAACCGCCTGGGCGGAGCAGGAATCCAGGCGGGTGCACCGGACCTCGCGGAATGAGTGGGGTCATCATTAGAAAACACACATAAGTCAATCATAAGTCTTTTGTAAGTTTAAGATAGAGCTTGCTCATTTTTCACAGAACGTATAATTTGGAATCGTAAGGTTTGTGTAACCCATGAAAAAGACAAACATGAAGTGCCTCATAGTAAGAAGGGTTGGATGGGCCACCCATAATGGTGACCATTTTGGTTTTGAGTTTACTTCTATTTGCAGTGGGAGGTTTCTCGCGGATGTCATCCTTTTAAAACAATCACGCTCCTAGCCGCTGGCTGAGATTGTCAGCTGCCAGGGCACACAGACGTTGCGACCCAGTGGAGCTCATGGCGGTCCTGGTAGTTTAAGCCGCTTGGCTATGACCATGCCCGGTTCGGGCAAAGAGGATTCCAATATGTTTGCTAATTAGGCATTGTTCGAGTCTAGCCAGCAGCCTGACACCAATTGCAACCTTGTAACCTTTTTTTTTTTAAAAATATGTTTGTGGCTTGTTTATTAACAGAACACCAACACCATTTCTTGATGTTTCTTGAACAACTTGAACATGAGCTTCGTGCACGTTTTTGGTGTGTCCGAAATCTGGTGCAACCAGGCAGCTTCCAACCCACTATGAAGCGCCCAGAGCCCGTGGCCTTTGCCGAGCCGGCCGAGGGCACCAAGGCGGAGACCTGCCGAGCCCACGTCTTTGGTGTTGGTGTGCTTGTTTGTGCAGGGAATCCATGTGGATAAGGGAAATCCATTCATATCTACTTGCTCTTTGCTCCGTTCGTAGCGAACCGTGTTACTAGTAGTAAGGCCAGGAGCCCCGTTGGTAGCGTCCGAACGCTCCTAGATGATACACCCCTACACTCGATAATGTCGCGGTGTTGGTGGGATATCCATGAACAACTTTTCCATGCTGCATGCATGCATGGCTTGTTGCTGCTGCAGCTGCTGCTGCTGCTGCTGCTGGTGTTGTTGGTGTTGTTGGTGTCGTCGTTGTTGTTGTGGTTGGGGTTGTTGTTTTTGGTTTCTTCCCTGAAACAGTCGGCAGTAGATGCCCTGACCCGTGGCAAGCAGTTCAAACCAGAGCCATGTGAGCCAACCAGCAAACAAGCTTTGCTGACGTGTGGGCATTTGTTTGGGGATGGACATGCCTCAAATGCGATGCGACGTGGCCAACAAACTGGTTTGGCTCATAGCTTGACTGATGTTCAACTACTGAAGCTCAAGAATAACAAGCGTCAATGCAATTGTTCCCCGAACGCACGGTTTCCTTTTTTGCATGCAGTACTCCATGTCACTGCCATTGAGATACTGTGTAAATGGGCAATTAGCAACTATTTCTGAGTTTGTCCTTGGCTCCAGGCACATGTGTTTTTCCTCAATAGATTTTCCTCCCTTCGTTCCACCATATCCCACTGTCCGCTCCAGGCAGCTTTGCCACGCGCCTTGCAAGCTGGTGGTGGGGTCGCAGGCGAGAAATCGGACATGTCCAACCGGTCGGTTGGGCGTTCGGAATTGGTGAGTTCCCAACGAAGTTCTCCAAACTCATGGTTCTGGAGGTCTCAAAGAACCTCGGGTAGAATTTGTTTATAGATCTTTTCGCAGCGGGGCGCAACATGTTTGTTTGGCCATCTATGTGTGAAGTCGGAACTCTCACAGTTCAGATCTTAGATTTGCTGGACAGATGGGAGAGTTACACCCTCAACCCAACAGCAGACACTGACACCGAATCGATCCGTCGCCATTGGACCTGCTTCTCTCCGGCGCAGTCGACAAGTCTGGGAAGAATCTTCAGCGGAACGACAACGAGGTGAGAGTCTGAGCCGCTGTTGCTACTGGGCTTGTCTTGGAAGATGGAGCTGAAGGGCCTCCGACTACAAAAATTGCCCCATGAGAATCCACATACCATACCTTGGAAAGAAGTGGCCAACAGCTTCGCAAGAGGTATATGTGCCCAAGAACCATGCATCTCTCTCTAAGCATTTGTGTGTTGGCATTTGGTGGTTCTACAAACATCGGCACATGTTCTACAAACACCCTTTGAGCTTTTTGCTTGTAGGGCTCCCCAATTTCCGGCGAGCAGACATTGTGTTGTCCCGCCAAATTGAATGCATGAATTGAAAGCCTTGTGTGTGAAACTTATCATTTCCATACTTAAACTGTTTGAGTTTGAGTGTACTATTTGTTGGTCAATCAACCCGACTTGTCGCTTGAATGCCCCGTTTGGGTGATGGTTTACTTCCTCCAGGTCCACATGACCAACATGGACGTGAATGCCTTCACACAGGACTTGGGCTGGGGATCGTTTGCTCCAGAGAGGTGACTCTTACATCATTTGGCATAGAGATGCATAGAGAAAGTCTCGTGAAAGATCTTGAAACAAGCTTGTCATTCCCACATAGTCACTATAGCCTTTCATGCACAATGTCCGTCTAAGACTGGGCACAAACCTACTTTTAGTAACCATCCTCGCTCTGTTCCAAGGTTTTTTGTTGGGATGTCTTGTGATTTAGCACAATTTTGCAAACCTGGAAAGTTTGGAAGCGATTTGGAGCTTGATGTCGCAACGTAGAAAAGATCTTCACTTGAGTCATCCAACTAGCAGGGGCAGTTGACAAACAGTTTATGGACGCATGGAGCCTTCATGAAGGTCGCTGAACTATAAGGACCCAAGAACTCTAGATACTATTGCGAATCGATGAAGTCCAAAGTTTACCCAAACCGAACCGACTACCAAACACTTTGCCCCAAATCTACTACAGGCTAGCGCCCCCAGATCGACTGACCATGAACGATGATGACAGCGTGACATAGCGATGGTGTCGAGCATCCCTGTAAAGCAGACGGCCGCTGCAGCTTGAGCCAGCTTCCATACTACCCTTGGCCTCACAGGAGAAGATGCGGGGCGAGTGTTACGTGCGCCTTCTGGTGCATCCGGACGCCGCATCCGCCAAGAAGGCCGGCCCGGCGCCTCCGTTCGTAAATTAACTAATTAGTTCCTAGTAGCTTCTTGTTATTACTAGTAAGGCACTTGTTACTAGAAGCGATGCACTGGTTACTAGTAGCTTCTTGTTACTACTATTGAGTTCATCATCGATTCCTTGATGTTTGAACAGCAGAGGGTAGCGCGGCGGTAGCTATTTTTTGGTCGATCTGACTTTCATCAGACTGTTTTGCGAGAGTTGTCCACAAAGAGGTGGTGTTTGTGACGCAGTCAACCAGCCAATTCATCGTAACACAGCAACACATGATTCAAGTATGGAAATAGGAACCGGGTTTCGGCTTAGTTTCAGGAAGCTAGGGCCAAAATGGTCGCAGATTCTGTGTTTTTGTTCTCAAGCTTTTTGGTGTCAACTTGATCAACTGGTCAAGTGACTAGGCTTGGTCAAGTGCAGTTGGTCGATGGCCGTAGCAAAGGATATGAATGCTACCATTTAAAGGCGTTTTGCCCACAAAACTTTGGCCCACCGGTATCTTTGGCTCTCTAGCGTTTTTGGGAAGTGAGACCCACCCGACACATATCGCTTTCATTCACAGCCGCACTCGACGGCCAGTCAATCCGTAGAGGTGGGTGCGTTCGCAACTCTATGGTTCATGATTCATAGTCCACGGCTTTTGTTTTTCATGCTTCATAATGCTGAATATCTTCGTGTGTTGTCGGTTTATGTCCATCAAACCTATAGAGTCAAAGTCATAGCTGCATATGTTCAGCATGATTTGGTTCTGCTGCTGCATTTCTCAGGCCATCGTGCCTTACATTGGCGACATGATGAATCCGGACATCAGCTTGGTGATGGGTGCCAACAGGCGCGGCACCGGCAGGCGGCGGGCCACAAATGCCGCCGACCTTACATGGGACATTACTTTTCCACGTCAATAAGGATAGCTAGTGAATGCTACTGATTTCCATGATTTTCTTGTGGAGTGTGGCAACAGAGCTCGAGGTGCTTCACCTGGTCTGCAGCACCGCTACACGACTTGCTGTGAATCTGGAAATACGTTTCATGCCCATCTCAGAGCCATGATATGCATTCACCTCCTTTTCCCTGTGATCCTTGGGCTTTCATTTGTTTGGGTATCAGTATCAGTGGCACAGAATGACAAATTCTTACAGGATCTGGAAACCCTCTTGCAATCTAGGGTCCCAGATCCAGAAGGGTATAGTATGATGAAATTCAGTCCACCCTTTGGTTTTCCAGCCTGTGGTTGTCCAGACTGGGGGATCATAAGTATAGTCCTCAGATCCAGACAAAACGATCTCCAGCTGAGCACCACAGGCGTCCCGTCGCGTCTCCAGCACCACAGGCGTCCCGTCGCGGTCCCGTCAAGCGAGGCCTTACTTGGTGGTTCCTCCAAAGCCTGCGACCTACAATGAGGTCTGGTGGCACTGGGAGAGTTTTTTTTTTTTTTTTTTTCGGTTGAGGCTCAAAGGATAAAACACGCATTTTTTTGAGTGGGGAGTTGAGTGGACCATACATTCATAGCTAACTTTGAGTCACTGTGGCCGGGGGTTTAACAATGTGCTTGCATAATCGCAAGAAGCCTGGAATAGCTGCCTTGACAGAAACCGGATCAGTGCTTTCAGGATCAGCCAGCAGCAGAGAGTGCTACATGCTCAAGAGCGTTGCGCCACACACATTTCAAGAAACGCATCCCTCTTCACGTATCAGACTACGACTATTCCCCCAAACTGCACTGCATGAGTGAGCTGGCCTATCACTCAGATGCCTTCACCAAACAGAGAGTGCATGGGACTGTGGGACTGTCTCGATCCGATGCAGGGCTCCTGTGTTTCCACCTCCTTTCCGATGGCACGAGCTCAATTGATCTGCGGGAGGGTGTTTGAAGTCACCATATCCTGTGCTTTCAAAGTCCATACTCACTTTAAGATCATTGGTGATTCAACACCTGGTTCGTTTCTGTTGATTGTTGCTGTTGCTCGACCCACTTCATAAATTTGCGTTTTTACAAAGCCACCTCATCAGCCCCACATGGATTCTTTTGCTTCAGGAAGGCGAGTTGATCGAAGACGACGAGTTCGCAGACTTCGAGAAACACGACAATGCTCCTGGGACGCTATGTCATCAGGAGCTGGCTCAGTGGATGGTTGCTTTGTCAGGGTAAACTCGTGCGAACCCAAGTAAATTAGCCAGCCACCATGGGAGGAAGAAAGCACCAATTTATCATCAGTAAATACTTAAATAGTTTTCTCCTGATTTCTCCAAATTGAGTTAGTGTACACCTCTCAGGTGGGGCAGAAAAGCTTGTCCATCCAGTCAGTACGGGCGTTTGGCGCGAAGCCCTCTCGTGCTGGTGAGAAACAATCCAGTGGCGTGAGTTAATGGCATGTCCAAGACAGCCCAATAAGGATGGAGAGACCAACAATTGTACCAAAGATGGCAAACCTGTTCCTCCACACTAGCCAGCAATTTTGAGGGCCATCATTTGACCATGAAGGAGGGAGTGGAAGGTGTTGTTCAACCGACATGCTGGTTTAGTGGTGTTTACAATTGTTTATATAAGTCCAGGAGAACGAATCCCACCAAGTGGAGGAACAACAACCCCTTCCTCTCGGTTTCCTCTACGAGGGTTTTCCTCTACGAGTTCTTGGGACTGAGAATATCCCTCCCAAAAACCACCCAAGGCGCCCACCACCCCGGTGGTTCCCACCCGTTGGTGCAGTTCCGGTCCGGTTCGCCCGAGGTGGCCTTCTCCTTCGTTCGGCACAACCGCTACGAAGCCATCGAGGCCGCGGGGAGAGCGGTGCCGGAGCGGTGAGGTGAAGGTGAGGAGAAGTGCTGCGAAAGGCGCTCATCACACAGCTGGGGAACTGCAGAAATTGAGGGCTGCAATCCTCAGGTAAGGTGGTTAGACCTCCCTGGCACCCACCCCAACCACCTGGTGAGGATATGGTTGGAGCTGTAGGGGAAATGTCTGAACTGCTTTGCACAGCAAATCGCTACGTTGATGAAAGTGATGAGATCCTTGGAGCATTTTGGAGCCTGGCTTTTGGTCTGACCGGGGGGATGTTTATGTAAAGGAAGATGCTTTTGGTCTAACACAACAACTACATAATATGTAGTAGATGTATATATGTAGAGTCTTCATCTAATGATTAGAAAAGGAAGAAACAATGACTAGTGTGTTTGGGATTTTCCTGTTGAAGGAGTCCAGGAGTCTGTGAAATTCAATCACCCCTGAAGCAGCAGCTCACCCTCCAAAGACAATAGATCTTCAGCCATCCCACAATTCCCGCTGCCGCACCATTCCTATAAGATTCGATGCAAATAGGTGAAATGCCTGGCACAAAACCCACCACCAGGTCTTGGAAAGCCCATCAGCTGGACAGCCACCCTCGCCTAGGGTGTCCCTTGTTTTGTGCCCCCTCTGAGCCCGAGCGGCACCTGTCAAGGCCATCATTCAACAGGAGAGCGGCATCTTGGAAGCCCGGGCCCGGCAACCCAGTCGAACTGCGACCGGAGGATGTATCCTATTATGGGGATCTTTGATCAGAGTGTCAGGGTGTCCTTTCCACCATAGGGTCATAGCCAGTTGAACCCTTGAATGTGTTTGATTCCCGGCAGATTGGGACCTGATTCATCCATCCATCCGTTGTTGCACCCGCATGGCAGACGAGGACGACAGTAATGGAACAATAAAACACATCCATACACATACCAACCCTTTGCCTGCAACCGCCACTTAGGACGAGTTTGGCAACAACATGTTGCATGTGGCGTGTGATGACCTCAGCTGTGACAGCAGACCTCAGCTGTGGCCTTGTTGTCATGACTCGTTGGGAAAGGCAAGGGGCAAGCGAGTGATGAACCAAAGAACAGAGTCACACACTAGGCAGACTAGCAGGATTCAATCGGCCAAATGGAAGGACGCTCCATTTCCATCCAGACCGTCAAGCCATCAACGGCTGCAGATAGAGCTACGACAGTAGCTAGTATCTAATATATAGTGCTTTGATGTGCTTTGTACATATAGGTGCCTTGTTCTTGTGCATGAGCATGGTGTTGTTCAGATCAAGTGACTCGAATCGACTGGAACAACCTTGTTTGAGAAGCCGCTCATTTGGACAGACGCACCGAGGTCAGAATGATCATCGTCGTATTGCCAAGCTTTTGCTGAAGAATGGCATTAACGCTGCTCGGCGGAAGGACACATGCAAAGATTATCAAAGATTGGTCGTTTGGAGACGAAGTCCGCAAATAGAGAACCCAAAAAACCATCCGTTCCATCAATTCCATCCCTTCTTCCGGAAGCTGCATTAAACAAACAAATAGTTCTTTGGGTCTTAAGTTCAGCAAACCTACGTAAACCGTTTGGCGTGATTTCCATCGGGTCCTCCACTCCACTCCGTTCGCACCGCTCCGTGCAGTGAAGCGAGTCCGTCACCGGTGATCTGAGGTGAATGATCAGAACCTCGCGGGCAACACACCCTTGCACTACTGCTTCCAGTGAGCGGTTGGAGGGTTGCGAGATGTCATCCAGTCTTGCGAGTCGCTTGCGATTTCTGTGGTGAACGGGCAGGAAGACAGCACGGAAGAATGGTTTGCTACACACCCAAGAGAAGAACAGCAGGCAGACAGTCGATGCTTGTTTGCACTCATATGAACTCTGGGATTCTCTCCGCATTGTATCGACACCGACACTGTGGAGGTTGTTTGGACATCTATATAGATAGATCATTCTAGAAAAGTCTTGAACTGACCGGGCTTGTCTAAGCTTGTCACTGTGGCACATGTATCATTCTTGTAGAGTTCCTGGTCCCAACAACAGTGCCTGTAGCTAGTACTGACCTATTTCACCTCAAGACAGCATGTCCTTCGGTTGACTGTCCCATTTTGTAGGCTCTTTATAAAGGTTGGATGGGGCTAGAACTCGGAACAAGGATGCGCAGTGGTACCATGAACAATCTGTTTGAGCTGTGGCACATGCGTCGGCGTTGCCAGAGTGGGTTCACTCTGATCACATGGAACCCCACCGCTTGTCAATGAACATGACCATGGAACTAAAAAACATTAGGTGCATGTTGGCATCCAGGTGGGTGGTGCTCGCAGCAGGTTGAATAAAGTCGAAGTTCTCGCATTGTGCATGTCGGGTCCCTGCACAAACTTGTATCATGAAGTGCAGGTGTGGGTTGTTTCCACCTATTGAGAAATGGGACTGATGTTTTCTTCCAGCAGGGGTAGAAAACCTCCAGGTACAACTTCCTCCACTTGTCAGACTATCTCATCGCTCATGGTGCAGACGAGCCTTGGCCAGCTCATGTACATGTAGAAGAGTTGTGCAAAGTATTGTTTGGACATGTCTATGATATTCGAATTCAAAACAATGCAGTGGGTTTCGCAGGAGATGATTGGGTGCAGGAGATGTATTTTCCCACGCTGCTCTATTTGAGAGGTCAAGAACATTTAGTATGTTCACAGTCTCTTGTCTCCCACATGTTTTACTTTTTTGCTCCGTCAAAGGTATGTGGGCAGTATTTTATCTTGGCCGGAATTCAGTACTGTGCACCCAATGTTTCCTAGATCCATCAATAAATATCTAGCAAAGGAAAGCAAGTTGGTGGAGCCTACAGGTCTGAGTGAAGAATTCAACGATGGGTAGTTTTGAGAGCCATGCGTTAAATGTGGTATCAAGGACCAAGGACCTTGGGATAGCAGTGGAGACCTGATGGAGACCTGGTTTAAGACACCCCCAAGGAATTGCCAAAAGATACCCCGTTCAACATCGATTCCTACATATTTCCATACCTTTCCTGTTGCTGCTCGAAACTTTGTCGATTCGATCCACGAAACATGGCTGGTGGAAGAGGTCAAACTGTGAGGCAAGATTGTTCGCTTTGCAGCAATGAAAGGAGCCTATCACCTATGTTTCTAGAACGTTGGGACAGCTGTCCCTTTGCTCGAGAAGCTGTCAGGAGAGACAGTGACATGTACGCTCCCAAAGACAAAACACATGTCAATAAGTTGAACGAATTGTTTCTTGCAAGACTACGACCCATCGCCCCAAAAAGGGGGATCGCCTCACCACTCGTCGCCATGAATTCGGTGTTTGGGTGAGTGACGACAGACGGCTGAGATGAGTCTATACCTTGATGTCCTTCATCAATGGGTCTTTGGATGGTCTTCATGAGGTTGCAGGCCATCGCTACTGGGGTGGAGGCCATCGCTATTAGGTTTCAATCAAGCTTGGGCGTCTTCATGCATGTCGATGCCATGTCAGTTCCCGGGAGCACCCCCCCCCGCCCGTTGCCGAGGAGACCATCGCCAACAAAAAGGGCCTCCTACCCTCCCAGGGTACCGGCGTGGAGGCGAAAAGGGATGTTTCGCGACCGAGACGGAGTTGAGCCAAAGGGCCATTCAGCATCCAAGCCATATTAGGAACAAGTGCATCGCTACTAGTAACAAGTGCCTTACTAGTAGTAACAATAAGCTATTAGGAACAAGTGCATCGCTACTAGTAATGAGCCAAATGGCCATTCAGCATCCAAGCCAGAGTTTTAAAGGAAGATTTCTCAACGTTGAAATGTGTGAAACGGGAGAGAACGAGGGAACGAGTGTCTTTCGCCTTGGGTGAGGATAGTTGCACCCCGCCGGTTTCATCAATGGACATGAAGGGACCATAACGGACCCATACCATTGTGCTTTCAGATTTCAGATGCACCGTGTGCTTTTATTCCAATTGCTTGAAAAGAAAAAGGGGATCGGAATTGGAAGGGTTGATGGAGCACTATGTTTGTCATACAGAGGACCAGGAGGGTGTTAAACATTCGTGGGGCAGGTCCAGGTGCTGCACAGGTAGAAGATTCGTGTCATGTTTTGGATGTTCACCAGGGTTGCGAATTTACATTGGTGATGGGTTTAATGTCCGAGGAACCCCTGAGACGATGAGGTTACAACTTAAAAAACGGCAGTCCGGGCAAGGCCCATGACCCATCCGACCCATTGGGGTGTGGATTCGTCGAAGAAGGTCCAGGTAGAATGTGATCTAGAACTCTCAACCCTGCTCTCATCTTCTACAATCACTTATTATGAAAGTAAATCTCACGCAGTAAGTCTCACCGCTGGTTGAAGACAAGAGGTCCACAGACAGTCTTGTAGTACAGTACAGCCTTTTTATTGAACATGTGTCACAGTAGAGCCTCTTTGAATAATCCTATCTGCTAGTGCTGTTAGGAGATCGTGTCTTTGAGTCATGAGAGAAGAAGTCACTCGACTAGCTCGAGTCACTCGACTAGCTCGACCCCACTCGGTCGACATGTGACGGTCGGGACATGCGACGCGTGACCGCGAGACAAGGAGACGATGGCCTCCGATGGCCTCCACCTAATTGCAAAGGCACTTGTTTCTAATAGCTTCTTGTTACTACTAGTAAGGCACTTGTTACTACTAGTAAGGCACTTGTTCCTAGTAGCTTCCACCTAATTGCCACCTTTATTTGTTTGTAAAGATTGGACTTTGTCACCCCCTGTGCGGTTTTCTAGTTGAGGATATACTGATAATGTATACTTGTCACTCTCATCTTCACGCGACTTCAAGCTTCAGCATTCGGCCAGCCCCCACTCCAAGACTCTTGGTATTCAACCACCACTGATAGACGTAGAACTACTGACCGAGCGAGTCATAGAACTTGGCCAATCCAAAAGGTGCTAGCGAGCTCGAAGGGTTCTTGGAGCATACTTCTTAGAAGGGCAGTTCCTGGTTTTACTTCCATCCAGATGACGTTCTGTGGCACCCAGGCGGGGCAGACCTAGAGTGGCCTTGGAACGTGAGGTCGGGGCGTGTCATGTGGCTTCGTTTCACTTATACAGAGACGGTCGTTGGCCAGCCTGGGTGCTTTACAAGCAATAATCAGATCTCAGGAACCGGTTTCACGTGGAAGAAAAAAGAAGGCGACTTAAGATTAATTTTGGCTAACCGCTTTACCTCATTGCTTTATGCTTGCGGCATGCACACAATCATGATACCGAGTAGCACAGCCTGTGCAATTTGTTGGATCTATTGTCTAATCATGTCTGGTCCACCTCAAATTAAGATTAATATCTGCGCAAATTTGCCAATAGCTCTGAATTTGTGTGCTGATTTGAGAAATAGCGCCAATATGTACTTGTTTCTTTTTTGGGGAAATAGTTCTAAGATGTCTGCTTTATTTGTCCAAATAGCTCAGTCATCTAAAGGTCTTGGGTTTCAACAATTTGCAAATAGCTCTAACACTTTTATAAATAAATAGCTCTAAGTTCTCACCATCAAAGAGATAGTAGCCAGTCCCAAAGCACAGGTGATGTCATTTACAGTATACATCCAGGAATCGTTTTTCGGTGTTTGCAATGCAACTCTTGAAGCCTGACAGCTTCATGCTACTCTGTTGGCCTCATACCGGATAGTTGGTTTTCACCCCACACATTCCAACGTCATGAAGGTTCTAAAGACATACGAGGCAAGGATGATGCAGTCAGTTAGAGACACTGGCGAGGTCACCTGAAAGAAGTCAGTATGGAAGTCATTTGCAATAGAATGCTGTTTCTCTTTAACCCTGCCCAAGAAACCAAACAAACATGTTTGTCATGGTCTATCTATGTCTATACAGGTGAAACTGGTGTTGATTCTGACTTTGACGGAATGGTGTAGGTTACCGTTTTCAACTGACAACATCCAGTATGTGAACAATTGTTTCCAAACTAGTGTTATTTTTGCGTTCAACCCTTCTTCATTTGTAAGTACTAAGTATGTAGGGGGTCTTTGGACAATTACCTCCTTTGTGTTCAGGCTTTGACCAAAAAGTAAGCACCGCAACGGGACACCACCTCTCGCCGATCGCCGGCGGCGTTCGATCTCGTTCGCCGTGCGGCCTTCTGTGCGTTCAGCCGCCCCGTTTCACCCGAGCGGTTCGGGGTTCACCAGATCGGGAGGGTCTGAGGAAATGCTTTTTCAATGCAAGTTTGGCCAGGAATTGGAGAACCAAAGATGACAAGTACAGGGAGTGGGGGAAGAGAATGCTGTAGATCTGGCACACCAGTTTCTATGGTAGCTGGCGAGGTTTTTCTTTGCGGTCTTGGCAAACGATGGAAAGGGCCACATGGAGGGATTTGTTGATATTTCCATTGGTTGATAAGACAACTGTTTCCTCATTTCAACTTCATTGCAAAAGCAGATAGGCCTATGGTCTTAGGCCTGCGGGCAACAAGAATGTCAAACGTCTCATCCTTCAAGAAGGGACACATCTGGAAACATCACATGGGTCCTAGTTGGAACAAGTCCGAAGTAAAGGACATCCCTCAAAGGAGTCAACCCTACAGTTCGGGGCTTTGTTGATTGGTGAGTTTCACAAGGAGGTGTATTTTTTCACTGGTTGAACTAGCACAACAATGAACTGCAAGTTGCAGCTTGTTGTTGTTTCTACACTGCACAAGCTGTTTTCACTGGTTGTGTTCCAAACTCTTTACATTGTGCATCCCATCCTGTTCTCCAACTCGCACGTGTTGGCTCATGTAGTTGGGTTTGAGATTACATACGCCAGACCATCCAGGTATGGACTAGTCTCAACAATTTGCAACTTCAAGAACCAACTGCTTTCATTCTGGGGAACTACTGCACACATGATTGATGATCTAGTCATCACATATCCATTGGGCACCGGTCTTGTGCTGTGCTTTCTTCAGACCGCAGCTGGTCTCGTGCCCCGGCGGGTCTCGTGCGTCTCGGCACCCTGGTCTCGTATCGCATGAAGCATCACCCACCGCTTGGCTCTTGGTTGCAGCGGATGTTCCTTTCAGGAGTTGGTGGCGGTAAAGCAGACCTAGACCTGGGTAGAAGAGGAATCAGAGGAATCTTTCAAGTGTTAGAAGCACAGAACTCCTGTATTTGGATGGAGAAGGAGTCTTGGGTGCCGAGTGTGTGGAATTCGGCCTTCGCGGGCCTTCGCAAACACGGCGACTTGTTCGGGACGCGGCCGGACTGGGCGGGTCCGAGTGGATGGGAGGTTTTTGGCGACTTCGACTCGGTGCGGACTTTGGAGTGGATGTGGGGACGGTGAACACGGTCTAGTTTACTTTAGTTTTCTTGCTCAGGTGTGGTCTTCTTGTTCTGAGGCCAAATGGCTTGTTTTGCATGGTTGGGGGAGAGTCGTCTCGATTCATGATCGATGCTGGAACTACCATCTACTGTATATGTTTCATGATTCTTCACTGTTGATCCATCACTGATGAACAAAGCAACAGCAAGATACGGTATTGACGTAGTGACGTGCCAGTGATGGACCACACAAAACCAACCGTCCCAAGGATAAGAGCTAGTGGATGCTTTGAACTGCTGTACGGTCGGTAACCGCTGCTGTACGCGGGGTTTCGCCATCCAAGTTCTGGTCATTGCGAGAGAGGTTTCCTCTAATTATGCTATAGTCTGATGTAGGATCTTGTTTATCATACATACCTAAATACATACCTTTGCCGGATGTTCAGGCGATTCCATACCCAACTTGAGCTTTGCAGCTTTGCTCGCCATCTACAAGAGCCAAGCCAAGCACGTCCGGTGGGAAGACCGAGCCAAGAGCTTGTTTGGTAGGGGAGACTCAACAAATGGTCACCCCCCCTCGGAAACAGTGAGGTATGTCATGTCCCTGGTCGTTTATATATCCGTTGAGGCTCTATCAATCCTTTGATCCGCAAGGACTGAAAACGAGATGTAAGGAGTATCGGTTCACCACTCACCCTTTGACTTGAGAGCGAACCCCAACGCAGGTTCTTGATGCGTATTCATCGAGAGAGCGCCAATGACCCAGGAGAGCGGAGAGTCCGTCACGCCAGAGAGCCCCGTCGTAAATGAGTTCCAAGAAAGATGGAAGGCTTAAAGAATTGGAGCAAACTGCGCCAGTGTTCTCCTGCTGGAACAGCTTGGCGACTAGGGAAATTGGATGAAATTGGGGAGGAAGGATCTCACCAACATGGCCCGAATGGATTGTCCTGGATAGTTGTATACTGCCTGCTTTGGGTCCCTGCTGTCCCTGCCGTCCCCCTGTCCCTTGGTCCCAACCATTCTCTCGTGAAAAACGGGCCTGCTCGCTGCTTTGTGGATTCGGACCACCGGTCCGTTGCTTTCAGGAGCCGTGTTGCCGAAGTTGCTTTGCAAGAAGCCTTTGGTTGCCGGAAGCCCCAGTGAGTGGAATATCAATGCAGTGGAAGGATGTTTGAGAAATTTGCAACTGTTCAGAGGAGGGACTCCAAGGTCAGGCATGGAGGCATCCAAGGTCAGGCATGGAGGCATCCACGCCGCCAATGAATGGCGATTCCCAACTTCGTGGCAGTTCATGTCACGTTGTTGCAGTATATCAATTGAACACGAGCTAGCAAAGCCCTAACCTTGGGTTGCTGGACTGGGTCTTGTTTCAGGTTGCTCCCGATTTGGATATCAATTGCAGCGGAATTTTCAGGTTGCTTTGTGGAAGGAACACAACCAGCAAGTGTAGAATGTGTCACCCAACTTTGTGTTATATATTTGGATTTGCCATTTGGATTAGTGTGCTAAAGAAATCCATGATTCAAACCCTATCCTTGTCCACCGAAAAGCACCCGAGGCCACCCAAGGGTCACCCTTCCAACCAGCAGAGTCATCAGAGGCAATCGATCCCTTCGACCGAGTTCTTGCGTGAAAGTTCAAAGGGGTTTCGCAACCCAAGTCATCCAGGCTCCTTCCACAAGAACCCGCCAGAACCCGCAGTGACCGCAAGCCGTGACCGTCAAGCTGCTCCGAGTTCTTGGGGGGCATCTCCTTCCCCATCTTCGTGGTCCATGGCCCGATTGGTCAGCTCTTTTACAAGAAGGCGCAGCGAGCGCTTCGGCGCTTCGTCGCTGCGGGCGCTGCGGGCGCTGGAAGCGAAGGTGAGGAAAGCGAAGGAGAGACTCCTCAGCTGGTGGACTTGGTCGGAGCCGGAGGGTGGAATCGTGCGGAACGTGGGACTCCGTTGACTCCGATCCTTGGTTTCCTGCTTTGGAGGATGCTAGGTTGCGGAGGGCTGGGTGGACTGCTTGTGTCGATGTTTTTTCGTGTCATTGCCATTTCATGGCTGGAACCAATGCCGTATTGTGATGAACAACCTGCAGGACATATTATTTATGGAGCAATGCACTGTTTAACTGATTAGTTGCCTGTTCTCTGAGGTTGTACGGAAATGGAAGTTCAGCCCCTCCAATTGACCCTTACAGCTTCAAGCCCTTGCCCCAAAACAAAGACGTCTCAAAAGGTGGAAGCCAGATGGAGAATTCAGCGAAACGAAGTCAGATGGTTCTTTTCCCTCTGTGACAGAACCCTGGAAAATGTCGTTCGGATCCCTTTGATATACACTGGCGAAACACCGATTGGTTGCTTTATTTATGGGCAGTGGCGGCCAGTCAGACATTAGGACATGCGCCGCTATAATTGAGGATCGAATCAAGCTATCAATCCTTGCAAAAGACATTGGAAAATCGCATCATTTATGGACTCGACTGACCACATCATAGACGGAGTGAAACTACCACACCTCCCCACAACCTGACCTGTTGCCGCCAACGACCTGCCAGAAAGTACATCAACTCCTAGTCGCAGCTTCATTCAAGATGTCAATTTCATTGATGGTTTTTGGAAGATAAGAATCCCCCAACCAAATTCCAGCTGAGTTGTGTTTCTGTCTTTTTTGACGTTTTCTCGGAACGGTTCGTTCCAACCAGCATGACGCCAGGCCGTGGCTGTGGCCGTTTGGGGCCAGAACATGGCCAGGCGACCGCCACGGAGCTTCACGGCCGTTCGGAGCTTCGATCGATGCATGGAGCTGAAGGGCATGGCCAGTTCTATCACATGGCCAGTGGAGGAACCT